GGGCGGGGCGGTTAAAAACAGAAAATTTTGTTTTATGGGGCGGGGCGGGGCGGGTTGGAGTCGTCGCGGGTGTGCGCGGGGTGCCCCGCAACCACACCGCACCGTTTGTCATAATGATACCACCCACACTGTATCTGACGCACGCAATTGATCATTGTACAAAGTCAGTGAACAGAGCTTAAATCTCATTACAGATATTCAGTCGATTGCCAAATATACCTTATAGCACAGTTTTAATGTTATCATAAACATCACCTGATTAAGTAAATCATCATACTACGGGATACCCCTAAAGTTGAATTCGAATCACATTTGGTCCTATTTAAGATTCTCCTCAAACAAAATGTCATTATCTAAAGTTTTTGGATCTATCTGTAAATTTGAAACTTTCTGTAACAAATTACTTTGTGAACAATGGCGTAGTTTAAAGAGTAAAGAACTTAGATTTAATAGGGGTGTATATATTTATCAAACCTACAAGCTGATTTTGTTTTCTTTTATGTTATAATCCACCATAACCAAATCATGGACACTCTTTACCAGATATACGGTTACATATGGTCGAGAAATAAGAAATTGGTCTAGTAGAATAGCAAAATTTACTAAAAGTAGTACTATAGTAAATCTCTATGGAGTTTAAGGGCCTGTTTGTCCATAAGAATATTTTGGAATGAGTTTGGAAATTTAAATATAGTAGTTTCACCATTTTTCATGTAAAATTGATTTTTCTTCGTAAAACTACAATATTTTTTCTAATAAAATAAATATATATATCCAAAAAAAAAATTAAATTTCAAATACTCATCTTAAACTTACCTCCAATTTCTTTTAAAAAATTTAATAGTATATACTCCCTCCCTCCGGTCCAAAATAAGTGATTTTTTAATTGTTTTCACACATATTAAGAAACTCACCTTTTAACATTAATTAGCAATGAAATTGATCATATTAACATCTACTATCTCTTTACATAAACAATCCTAACACATACTCCAATACTATTTACTTCAAGGTTAATGTAGGAAAAAAATAATTAATTTATTCTTGAAATCTGAAAAAATTAATTATTTTGGAACATAAAAAATAACTAAAAAATTATTTATTATGGACAAGAGGGAGTAATTTTTTTGTGTCCAAACTACTAATAAATAGAGACATGGAGAGAACGTGTCCTACTGCCAGCAGCTCAAATCGTACCACAAACACTCCTACACCTCCATATGGGACAGACATATATAATCAGCATCTGCTGACCCTACTGTCACGTCTCCCCCCTCCCCCTCGAAATTTCCCTCTATACCCTTCAACCCCATTTCTGTCTTTTCACCCCTTCCTAACCAGTATCCCCCCTATATAACCCAGCCTCCCCCGTTCCCGTTTTCTCTCCTCAACAGCAAAAATATCAGTCAGTTCTCCTGTCAATCTTAGGGAGAAAATTTATCTTCATCTCTCGTTTCTACTGTCAATCTTTCAGCTTAATTTATGTTTATTTAGACTAGTACTATAATTTATGGGGTTTCCAGTAGGCTACACGGACCTATTTCTTCCAAAATTGCTCGTCCACATTCTTACAATTTTGGGTTACATTAGAAAGTTCATTTGCTCCCTTTTAACAATTCTGGGTCTTGGGGATTTTCTAGAACCCGAAATGTCGTTTCCAGCGCGGCCCGAATCTTGTTCGGAGCTCCAGTACTCCTTATCGGCGGTTCTAATCAGGGAGATTTTGCCAGTGGTCAAGTTTTCCGAACTAGTGGACCCACCCGAGAGCTGTGCGGTTTGCTTGTACGAGTTTAATGGGGAGGATGAGATCCGACGGCTCACAAATTGCCGTCACATATTTCATAGGAGTTGTGTGGACCGTTGGATGGACCATGATCAAAAGACTTGTCCGCTTTGTCGAACACCTATTATACCGGACAAAATGCAGGAGGTTTTTAATGAGAGGCTTTGGTTGGCGTCTGGGATTTCTGATTTTTGCGGCGATTTTTCTCCCATTATTGCCGGTTTATAGTACTTCCATTTTTTTGTGATTTTTTTTTTGGAGGGGTAGGATAGAGGTTGAGGTAAATTGACAATGTGAAATGCGTATACAACAAGAGAAAAAAAAAGGAGAGAATTTGTATAGTATTCGATTTTAGGAATATGGATTGAAAGTTGATAATGCATATTCAAGAAATTAGAATATGCATACTGCAAATAGTCAATTGGTTGTGGTCAATTACAATCTATTTTTAGTTTTATGTGCAATTTTTCGAAAATTATTTATATTTACTTGTAAGAGATCTAAAAATATAGAAGACAATGACAATACAAATATATTTATGCATAATCATATGTTCTTTTAATATTAAAATTCATAGGATACTTTTACTGTATATATTATTACTCCTATCTCTTTCTACAGAGAAAACAAAAGAAAGTGACGATAATCTATTCATCGAGCTAAAGATGTATACGTGATTATTAGCCCGTTTGGCCCCGTTTGGCCAAGCTGCAAAAATCAGCTTATTTTGAGAAGTGTTTTTTTTATAAGTGCTTTTCTCAAAAGTACTTTTGGTGAGAAGCAGTTTGTGTTTGGCTAATTAGTTTGAAAAGCACTTTTGAGCAGCAATTAGTGTTTGGCCAAGCTTTAAAAAACTGCTTCTAAGTGTATTTTTCTCAAAAGTGCTTATCAAAAAAGTGCTTTTGGAGAGAAATTACTTTTTTCTGATTCTCCAAAACTGTTTCTGCTTCTCTTCAAAAGCACTTTTTTTCCTTCCAGAAGCTTGGCCAAACACCTCAAATTGAGGCCAAAATTGCTTTTGACCAAAAAAAACACTTTTGGCCAAAAATAAGCTTGGCCAAACAGGCTATATAGCTTCATTTCCAACAAAAACCACGCCTAAAATATTACGTAAATCCTTCTCAATGAGTAGTGATGATTTTAGATTAGTCATTCCGGTAAAGTCATAACCAAGTTTCTCGTACCATGACAGCTACTAAATTTCGTTCTCGCGTGACCTAAAATCCCAACCAATCAAAGTCGTGATGGCTCCTAATACTGCTCGCTAGATAAGTCAACACAACAGATAATACAAAAAGAAAAACAATAATTATCTAACAATTGATCAATAACATACCATAAACAGCTATGTAATAACATAATAAAGTTCTAAAACTAACGACTAACGTAAATCACCCCAAAATTTAGTGTCACACGTATAGGAGCTTCTAGATCCAACCAAATACAAGGTTCTGAAAAAAATACAACACTATCCGAATAAAGTAGATAATGTACAATAGAGGTAAGTAGGAGTATATAAACAGAACCGAAAAACCGCACCAAACCAAAAAGTTAAACAAAACCGATTAAAAATCTAATAAGGTTTGATTTGATTTAGCTTGGTATTAAGTAAAACAAATCGAACCAAACTGACATATAAATATATACTTTTAACACTTTATATAGATTTTCTTCAAAAAATATCTTAAGATATTTGAAATTCTCTTATGAGATATAATATTTAATAGACAATGAAGTGCTCCATTTTTGTTAACTTTAAATATGTTGTATGATCACTTTCTTATCAAGTGTTATAGAAATTTGTCAATCTCTTTATTTTTTCATATTCATATATCAAAATCTACTAGATTCTTATATCTTTTTCGAATTTGAAGTGGTATTTGATAATTGAAAATTAAATAGTACATATTGTCACACCTCCTTTTTCCGCACCCGCGAGGGTGCAAGGGAGTTTTTCCAATTAAAGGA